CAAAATTGCTCTAATGTATTTCTATTCATTGATTACAAAATTCTCTGTAACACAGATGCCTTGTCTATAATAACAACTGTTGACCTAATTAAACTTTTCTAGTTCTGATAGCCACAATCTTCTAAAAGAGAAATGTTTTAGATTTGCTATGCATGTCTTTCCAAAAGAGAAGTTATCTCTGTTTTAGCCTCTCAGACATCGTCTTTTTAGACAAAAGCATTAGAAAACTATCTAAAAGTCTCTTTTGACACTGATCTTTAACAGGAAGAGAGACCTGGTCCAAACACCATCAGAGGCGCAAGATCATAATGCAGCAAGTAAATAAAGCCTCTAGAAGAGCGCTGAGATGCTCACCATCTGGGTCAGGCAGTTAGAGCAGGATCAATGTCAGATATAAGTAAACGAGAAGACAGAAAAGGAGAATTGTGAGCACTAAGCAAGGAAACCTATAATGCACTTCTCACAAAGCGCTGTAAAATTCACATTTATTTTGTAAGTGTGAGATAGATGGGTTACTTCTACATACAGAGGTGCCCAACTAAAATCAAGATAAGTGATATTAATGTCCTATGGTCAGTACTATTGAACCTCCAAAGCAATAAACTATGAGTCGATAAATATTACATTTGCAACATAGTTAACATTCTTCTACTGTCTCTGGCACTTATTACACATTGTAACCGCAAGTCTACAATACATTATTCATATTTGGGGTGTCACTGAGTGATGGATTGCTGTAAGAGAGGCTGTCCTTTAAATAAATCAACAAATAAAAATGCAAATGTTAACATTTTCAGCCACAACTTTTTCCATCTTGAATGGGGAATGAAAATTTCACATTATATCGACAGCCAGCAGAGAGAACAATTAACAACCTACACTGTGAATAAGAGAGATTAATTTGCCAATGTCTCATTTTATCACTTGCATAAGGAACTACACTGGACTTTTTGTGCTGCTGGCTTTCCCAGCAAGTAGGCAAAACTTGCACCTTCTACTACATCCAACACCTAACTCACCACCCCACTCCAAACGCACTTTTAATCCCTTCAAGTGTTCCTAAATTAGATCTGGAATGAAAGTTCTCTCCTCCTTGTCCCACTTTTGAATCTTGAATGGTGTGTGATCCTAAAGGGCGGGGGGGGGGGAATTCTGTTTCTTTGGCAGTGTTTGTTTAGACTTTGGAGTAGAAGGAACTTCACAGTATTGTCTTAAGAGCACAACCATATTTAAGCATCCAACATGCACAGATCTGAAGGGCAACTACCGCACATAAGTAAGGCAAAAGCTTAAACCTCATCACTGTCGTATTTCCTACCACTCAGCATAACAGATCTAATCTAGACTATTCCAGTGTGCATTATTAAGTATACAACTCTGCATATTATATTTTACATCAGATATTAATTTGCTTAAAAGTCTCTGAATACACATTCACCTGAGATGTGCTGGGCAATTGGGTAAATAGTTTTGTTTTTAAAATGTCCCTGAACACAAATTTACACAGTACAATCTGTTTATAAAAAGACCAACAGGCCACTGTAGTCTAACAGATAATAATACAGCTCGAATACAGCATTCATATTGCAGGAACTTCTAAATCACTTATTTTAATGGCTACAAGAAACTTCACTCGAAGACAATGCATTCAGCTAGCATTAAACCTCTGATTTAAAACTGCAACAAGAAAACATAGGCTTAATGCTGAAATCCCAGACTATCACTCAATCCCTTAATTTACCTAACTGTTCTTAAATTCACTTCTTAGATGCCCAAAGTGAAAACTGTTACAGGAGAATTATCTGTTTCCATGGTGAGCAGAACAACCTTTGCCTGTGTCTTTTTAAGTGCTTGATTATCTGCAGTGTTATAGGACTTACTGTGCCAAACTCGACACTACAACTGTTTCTGCGTGGGGAGAGCCTGACAACTGCACCAGGGCTGTAAACAAACTAAATGGTCTTCCACAAGGCACAATTTACAACACTTTTTTTTTTAAAAAAAGAATAGCTTAATACTTTGATTTAGAGCACTTTCATTTCTGTTTTGCAACACAACATTTATTTTGCTGAAATCAGTAACCTGATTATACCTAACGTAAGACCTAGTTTACGTAAAAACTTCATTACTAAATGAAAGCAGACAAATGCCACTACCTCCCTTTTCTAGCTCCCCTCCAGCCCACAGCCAAAACCCAGAGTCTTTCTTCTAGGCAAACAACAGCTACCAAAAAGATGTCCTCAGTCACCAGAAAGGTAATGTTTAAGACATTCAGAGGAAACATGCTTTAGGGGTAGGGAACAAACTTAATCTTCCAAATCTGCCCAGCCCCAACCTTGCCTATGATTCTTTTTCCCAAATGTATCAGCTTTGGTCTAGATGAATAGGCATACTGAGCAGAAAAGCTTTCCAGACCTGCTGTGAACATAATTTCAAGGGGCCCACGCAGGTGTAGACACTTGGCTTAAGAACACTGGAGAACCAAACACGCAATGCTTGGCTGTATTACGAAAAGCAGCAACAGGCTTGCACAGAAGCATGATGGGCAAACAAATCTGTTATTAGCCCAGATCAACATGCCAGACGAATAAATTTTTCTTTCAGCGATATCACTGATGACACCTTGTGCACATTCATTCTGCAAGCCTGCTCATTCTACAGGTCTAGAACTAGGGCTCTCATAGCACATACCTTTACCTTCCAGGGACACTTATTTCTTGTCCCAGACTTGATTCATTCAGAGAGAGAAGAAAGCACTGCAGTGATTCTTCCTCAAGCAGGAGGTAGCTGCGACACACTGCAGCCTCCAGCTGAGCCCTGCCAAGACAGGCTATCAAGCCAATGCATCTTCTACCTGCCATGCCTGCTTATCCAGCCAGCCCTCCCCAGAAGCTGCACTAGCACCCCGATGCCTCGCGCTGGCAGGGAGCTTCTGTCGCTTTCCAACACCTTCTCCCTGGCAGGCTTTCCATTGCTGCTACTGCCGGGTGCCAGGGTTTGTGCTAGTTAAAGCTGGCACAAACATGAGTTGAACCTAGTCCTATAAATTTAAATAGTCAAAAGTAATTAGGTTTACACGTACTACCGAATAAATAAATTTGCTCTTAGGCTAGGGCTTTGTGCTGCAAGTTTCAGGCCCGTGCCAACTGTTGTGGTTAAGCTGTTAACCCCCCCAGTCACGGATTATAATGAACATGCTGACAAACACTAACGTTAGTGGTTCAAAAGAAGCAATAATTCTCAATATTGATTAATTTAGTTAGTTAAACCTGCAGTCTAAGCTTATAACCATTCAGTGATAAATCGAGACTGACCTGCTGCCCAAGCAGGTTTTTTGATGAAGGATAGGATCAGCTCTAGGTCTCCACAGAAATACTTGTCCATTTACCATTTTCAATTAGCAAAGGCCATGAGTAAGGGAAAGCACAACATGGCTGCTTAAACTGGTCAATTATATTTACAGCATGAACAGAGAAAAAGAAAGCAGGGAAGCATGGGAGAGAGCATGCCAAAAATTAAGGATTTTTCAAAATTTGTCATCAGTTGGTAAAGTAAACCTTTAAGGATGACAGCTAATCAGACTCCCTTTGCTGATCACTTTGTCTGATATGGTTTCTAACAGCGTATTTCAACACTTAGTTTACTCCCCTCTGTGGAAAAGAATGGACCATCAATCCTCTTGAATAGAATTCCTTTTTCTGAGCCTTTGTTGTATGATGTGAATAATTATATCTACTCCTCAGTGCTTGAATGGAATCTCAACTTATCACTATTAGACAGTATCACGCAGCATCTTTACTTTACTGCTCTTCATCTGATGTTACTGGCTTCCAAAGGTAACCTGTGCTTCTAAGAGAAATGCTTAGGCAATCTTCTGGTTTCTGTTTGTTTAAACATAGTTACTTGTGGGAAACAGAGCCCAATCTGTCTCAGTTCTTAAATCCTCCCAGAATTATCATCCCTTCCTTCAGAAGTAAAAAAAAAAGTGTTTCTGTAGCAAGTAAGTACAAATCTGTCAATATTGATAGTGGTTTTTCACCTATTATATATTGCAAGTTCTCTCAGAAGACAGAAATAAACTGCCAGCTGCTGCCAAGAACACAGGGATGATATCAGGCATACATTTTCCTAGTCCACTGGGTCAGGAGAAGATTAAATCTGACTCAAGCCCTCTCATTCTCCAAGAAACATTTAACTCTTCTTATGAATGGTCACACATTCTCATCATGCCACTGCACAAAGTCATCTAACTTGTGGTGTAAAATACAGCAAATTCATACTTCAATCTGCATTTACTTTGTTGCTTAAGTAAAGATTTTATTATGAGAAAATGTGGGATATGATAAGGAAAAGCAAGGGCTGTATGCTGTTTTTCTAGGCACTTACCCATAGAATTGTAATCCCGCCTGAAGAAACCAAGTTGTTTTTAGACTCGTAAGTCTAACAACAATGTTGCTTTCTGTTTCTTCATTGGAGCATAAGCAATAATGCTGCTTTTCCAGTGCATTTAGTGCAGATATACAGCATAATCAGTAAATGCTGACTTAATGTGATTTTGTTGCTTGTCATTAAACATAAAATAACTCTGGTACAAAACATTTTAAAAGAAATGACATTTGACAAAACTGGGGGGGGGGAAGGAGTGTGAATATAGGGGGATTAAAATCTTCAAGTGGATTTAAAACCTAACGGGTTAACACCATCCATTCAAATTATTTACAAACGTATTTAATGTGTCAGGGCTTGGAACATAAAATACTTTCTGTTCAAAATCTAAGCAAAATTATAATGTTAGAACTTGGCATATTCCTGCTTTTCTTATTCTAACAAGCAATTTAACGCTTACTATAAATGTCAAAAGGATATGGCAGGGGTTTGTTTTTATTTTTCATCTCATGCTAACATGAAATATCATAGAAATTCAGCCACTTCACTGCATCTAGGAGAATGTGATGGTTGTGTTTGCAGAATCTTTAACCAGAGATTACCCAGCGTCTTACCATGAAGTGTCATGCTGGATTGGTGATGTGGCTGTGGTTGCAAGCTCTTTGCTGCTGCCTGTCAACACAGGAGGTATGGCTGCATCCTTCCTAGGTCCTGAAATTGTCCCTGTGGAAAGAAGTGAATACAAGCCAGACATCAGAGGCTAGTAAGTTTTGGACAGAAGTTTCATGATTCTGCATGATTACAGAACACCGGGACTAAAAGTTGCAACATTTTTGGAGTGCCATATACACAGTGAAATGGCAACCAAAGAACTCGCTGCTTGACAGTACTGTGCATAGCATGCATTTCAGGATCACATGGAATCAAATCTGCAGAATAAGCACTACTCTACAGCTTCTATCTTAATGCCCAAGGTTTGCCAGACTTCCCCTGTTATAATTTCTTATAGTGGTCCACAGATTCAGCTTGTTTCACAGATGCAGTTCTCATGACATGCTATAAGATGTTAGTTTTCCAAGTGTAAGTATCACTATAAGAGTATTTTTCTTTCAACAAAATAGAACTGTTAGTCCATTTCTTCGTCACCCCTCACAATAACCCTTGAATTACAAAATAACTACATCGATAGTGAATCTGGAGGTCATGTAGTCCAATCCTTCAAAGCAGGGTGAAGAAGATCAGGTTTAAGGTACTTGTCCAGTTAGGTTTTTAATGTCTCCACTGCTGGTGAACCAACCTCTCTGGGCAACTTCTCTGGTTCCAGTGTTTGATCACGCTCACAGAGAAAAATGTTTTCTGTATAGCTAATCAGAATTTTCCAAGTTGTAACTTCTTCCTGTTGTCTCTTGCTCTGTTGCTGATGACTTGCAAGAACAATCTCATTCCTTCTTGTCTACACCCTCTCCTTAGGCAGCTGCAGAAAGCAGGAAGATCTGCGCTCAATCGTCTCTTCTCAAGGCTGAAGGTGCCCAGCTTTCTCAGCCTCTCCCAGTAGGTTATATGCTCCAGCCCCCTGACTGTCCTGGTTGCCTCTGCTAGACTTTCTACAGTTTGTCACTGTTCTCCTTGCCATGTGGAGCTCCAAAGTGGACACAGTACTCTACAGATGCAGTCTCACCAGAGCTGACCAGAGGGGAAGTGCCACTTCATCAACCTGATGTCCACAATTTTGCTATTATGGTCCAGTATGAGGTTAGGTTACTCCATCACACAGGCACAATGCTGACTCATGTAATAACTAGCTTGTAACCAGCTTAACTACAAGATTGAGAGACATTGTTGTGTTTCTGATGCATGAGATTAGTTCAACCCAGCTGAAGGAATTGGCATTTCCCTTTGTTGAACCTAAACAGGTTTCTGTCAAACCATTTTCCCAGCCTGTTAAGGTCCCTTGAATCCTGCGCCCTACCCTTCAGCATATTGACCGCTTCCCCAGGTGGTATTATCTGCAAACTTGCTGAAGGTGCATCATGTCCCACTCTCCAGGTTGTTAATGTTAAGCAGTTAAACACTAGCAACTGGCTGTCAGCTGGACTGATGACAACTCTTTGAGGCTGGCGGTCCAGCCAATTTTCCACCCGTCTACCACCTTTCACCCACGCACCATAGAACTGGGTTTTATAGACAGGATTTAGTTAGAAAACTTGCATACAGACTCTCAGAGGTAAGCAGAATAGGCAAATTAGGAGTAATACGATCTACTACACAAAAGCCTGCGGGTTTGGGCTTTTTTAATCTAGCATAATTAGCTCTGTCCAACCAACATCACTTAACTAAACAGTCAGTATAGGGAAAACTACAAGTCTCAGCAAAAATTAAAGTCAAACCAGTGTTTAGAAGCATAAGCAGCTCTGTCATGTCTAAATATTTCTCAGCTCTGTGAACAGCAACATTATCTACCATCCATGCTGAAACATGGAGCAACACAACAAGGTTGTAATTCCAGCTTCAGCACAAAATTTACAGATATCCAAGGGACTAAGATTATTTAAAATACTGCATTGATTTAAGATGTACGCAAATATATAAAATATAGTAAAATAAGTAAAAAAAACCCATATTTTAAGGTGTATTCTAAGGAGGATAAAAAAAATTGGTTCTTGTTGCCATGATATAATGCACTGTGCTCCAGTACGACACAGTTAAAAACTCTCGCCTAACAGAGAGTTAATTATCAGCGAAGCAACCCTTAGAAATATCATAGGCATATATGTTTATTGGGTGTCCGTGGCAACTTGATAGTGTGCCAATCCATGATGAGAAGAGTGGATATGCATATAAAGACTGGAAGCCTCTTGCTTAGACTTTTGGCTTTATGATCGAAGATGAGATATTTAGAAGTCATTTCACGTGACAGTGGAAGGAGGCAACTTGATTTTAAGACACTAATACTGGAGTAATAAAAACCTGGTGAGCATGGGAGAATATATTCAATTCCTAACATGAGAAAAGGCTGGCATGCTGTCAACATTCTACATTCATAGAAAAGTAGATGTATTTCTCCAAAAAAGAAAATACATGGACTCGGAAGTGGCCAACACAGCCTCTAGGGGACTGTTCAAAGACCCAAGCTTGAAAATATTACCACGGCTAGAAATGGAAAACAAGAAAAGGAAATAAGCAGGAATATACTGAGGTGTTACGCTGCACAGACATAAAACAGGGGTAGCAAGAAATCCTGAATAAGTGCATATCTAAACAAAAACATGTTTAAAAATACATCTTGCAAAAGGCATGCAAGATGATTGCGAAAAAAGAAACACCAAAGAGCAAGCAATTCTATGAATATACGAAGAAATTAAATCAATGATGATCCTAAAATGGCCAACTTACTAATAATTTTAAACTATGAGAAAAAATTTAAAAAAGGAATATTAGCAAGTAGGAGATAATGAAGACCATGTTGATGTACAATACCTGCCTCTATGAAGCTGCTGAAAATAAATTATTGGGGGGCGGGGAATATACAAATTCTTTAGTCTGAAGGATACATATTTCAGGGCTAAAGGGAATTAGTTAATGAATTTATGAAGTGACTGGTAATTATTTATGAAAAGTCACAGAGAACTGGGTGATACAAATGACAGCAAATTAATTAGATTTGCAGGTGTTGGAAGACAGTATGAGACTGGAGACCTTGCAGATGATCTAGAGAAGCAAGAAATGTGGAAAAAGAATAGACATATTCAGCCTTGGAAAAAAAAAAAAGCTCCAACATGGTGTGATGATCTAAATCCTGACACAAATGGAGAGAACTTGGAGTAGCAAAGAATAGCAAAAAACAAGCTAGATGTAAGCTTGCAAGGCAAGCTACCACCAAAGCAATTACAGATATCTCCTAAATGATAATGTTAAGAATACTATTATCAATTCAGTTAACTTGACATAAGAATGATTTAAAGTAGATCAAGGACTCATTTGAGAAAATTCAAATACCTGTATATTTCTGCTTGAGAAACAGGAAACTAAACCTGAAGAAAGCAGGGAAATACAGTAGTCTACATTTTGAAACTGTAAACACTAAGAATGAAGAAATACAGTTGAGGCTGGTTCAAGCAGCAATGGGATGAAAGTAAGCAAAGGGAAATCTGGGTTGATAATCATGAGAGAAATCTTTATGAATTGAATAATACTAATACTCATAATACTTAACATTTATATAGTACTTCACATCTTCAAAGCGCTTCACTAATGTTAACTAATTGCTCTACTCAATTGTAGGGAAGAGTCTTCCCTCAAGGGAAGAAGTTCCAGGTTCTGAATCCCTAAGAAATTACATTGGAAAACCTACTGAAAAACAAACACGATACAGAAAAATCAGCCCCTGGAAATGTACAGATTCTACGAGCTAAAATTATTTTCCTTCTCTGGCTTTTTCTTTCACGTATGGAAAGGAAAGCTATGCATGGTATACAATATCATGCAGATGCTATGTCCCCCGAAAAGATACAAAGGGAAAAATAGTTCTTTCCCTGTTTCATTGCAGAGATATTTCAGGAAGGGTGTGAAGAGGAAGACTTTATACAGAAATGTACAGAAATAAAGTGTCCAAAATTGCAGGCTGCAATAGATAAAATCTAGTTTAGTTTCCCAGCCCAAAAGCAAAATTTTCCAGGGCAGAAAGGGAAACACACATTTCTGTACTCCAGTGCTTTTTAACTAGACAAGTTGTTAGATTTTAGTACAAATTGACATAGCTGCTGGTGACACCAATAAAAACAATTTACTGCTGAAAAGATCTAAGACTTGAGGATTGCTTTGTCTGCTTAAAGTTTTGCTGGTAAAACTAAAAAAGTTTGGCTACAAGACACAAACACCTGCTAAAGTACAGGAATAAAAATTAAGGAGCAAACAGAAATAGGAGACAAAAAGCAACAGTGAGAGAATAAAAGATGATTGCCTAAGCTGATCCTGTAAGCTTCTACCCTGAAAAGAGAGCCTTTCCTTTCACTCCACAAGGTGACCGGACCAGGTTAATAACGCTCTTCTTCCCATTACTAAACATCTGCAGGGAGAACAGAAAAGTGGGTTAATTAGGAATTCACCCTTTCCAAACTCACTGCACTCACCGTAGGTGAGCAGTCCTGTGGGCAGAAAGCCTTCCACCATTCCAGCATGGAAATGGTTTCCTGATTAATCATTTTACCATTTCCAAAAAAAAAAAAAAATCACAGACTACACAGGTAGTTGCACGAGAAAATCTGGTAGAACTGACTGTGTTGCTATGGAGGGACACCATCCTGAGTTCATGGTCCCCCAGACACACCCACTCTTCCCAGCGGTATGGGGAGATTATAGAGTGAGCTCAAAGGCACACACCAGCACTGGCACTGCATGCACTAAGGTGTGCTTGGAGAGACTCCCCATCCTGAAGAATATGTAATTTAAATAGATCAAGACATAAGAGAAATAAATCTCTGTAGCAATAGGTTAACATCTGACTGTCAAGAAGTTTTCAGTGGATGTGTTTCTGTACATAGTATCCAGCACTGTTATTTTCTGACCAAAAGGCCACCTTAAGATATCGGGCTAAATAACATCAAGTTTCATGCCTCATGTTGTCAATTTGTTGACTTCATGCCCGATTCCCATATCGCATGGCTCAGCCAGAGCTCAGGTGAACGCACTGCAGTAGAAGCATCACTTCATATTGACACACCAGGTACTGAACACTGTCCGAGACAGACCCCCAGGCTTGCTGGCTCAGCACTCGGATGCAGTAAGGCAAATACCATGCTTTCTATAAATTTCACGACAGAAAACAATCCTTCATTTTATTTTTGCGAGATGCTACATTATTGCTTCCAAACAAAAAAAAAAAACAAATTCTGAAGCAGAAATCCCATATCAGCAACAGATGGGAAGAATGAGCAGAAGCAAGGACAGAGTCAGCTAAGCCCAGAGTAACTAGAATTAAGAAACTCGACATTGTGCCCTGGTGATCCCCAAAGATGGAAAAAACACTTTACAAGTATATGTGTATGCTTGTTAAAGGAGTCCAAACATCTAACAGAGGGAAGCCAATTAAAAAGGTACTAAATACAGAAGACTTCAACTTCAGTGATTAGTGCTAGGTAATTTGCCTTGTGATAAACAAGCCATTCAAATCAGTAATAGACCTGAGGTTGTTCCACAGCTTGATGAACTTTATCTGGTATCACAGCAAGTGCCAGTGTTTATAAGTTAAATTTCGCAATGCAGGTCTACATCTTCAAAGCTAGCAATCCCCCTAAGTGTTTGCAAAAGATACCCACCATCTTCAGACATTACGCTGACCACTGCGACCACTAAATCAGCATAGGTGCAGCTCAGTTGCTATGTGCAATAGCCAGGTGCAGCTTGTAAGTTCTCCTAAGTACTACAAAATGAAATGAATGAATGGAGAGGCCAGGTTGGATTTTTTTCCCTGAATCTATGGAAAATAAATTACTTTTTGGCGACTATCCCTATCCAAGGAACAAAACCCATCATCCAACTGTGAAAAATCTCAATTTCATCACTACAGTATTGAGAAGGAGGGGGGAGAAGGAAGAGGAAAAGAGAAGAAAAAAATAATGATAGCTGAAAAAAACATAAAAGAAAACCATCAGTGAAAATTGCCCCTGAAACTTTGCAGAATTGTAACGGCTTTCTCTTGCTTAAATTGATTGGTGTAGCAATGTTATAAAATGACTATTAGGATTCATTGTGCACAACAGAAAGTGTGAAATGTCAGCAGACTATACAGCAAAAGTAATGGGTCCTGAACCCCTGTTAGTCAAAAATGATTTTGTTTCAAATTAGAAATTGATTTTTTTGGACACCAGCCCTTTACAGGCTTCCAACTTTTGTAGCTGTGCCTTGGAAGAGATTAACCTCAGCCACTGTTTAGGTCCAGGCTGATGATACCCTTTTGAAAGTTTCTTCACAGGGACTGCTTTTTAATGTTGGTACGGTCTTAACCAATAATACAAGTTATTTGTTCCTTTGAGAACTGCACCACATTTCTTCTCATTTTGCCATTTTCTTTATTTTTATGCTGACATATACGGCAAACTGGCTGACAAGTTAAAATAATAAAAAAGCTAGCTCATAATTGAACCAAGGATTATGTTCAGGGCTCAGCAGTGAAACATCCAAGCTGCCTTTGTTCCCATACCTTTCTCTTCCTAAGAAAGACTGTTTCTCTGCTCCTTAAGTGGAGGTACTAAGCTAAGAGCAGGATAGATTCCAGCCATATAGATACCCCTGTGTGGCAAAATATCAGGTTGTGGTGGTGAAGCCATTACTTGGGGAGGAAAAAAGTGTGAAGAAGATTACGCTTCAAGAGCAAGCCCCACTGCACTTATTCTCTGCTTGCTGGGAAAGGAAAAAGAGTTGTTGAAGTAGCTTTTTGAGGTTAAAGGGCTATTTTTTCCCTTCCACGAGTAACACCAGCCAAGAAGTTCAGTTATTATTTACAAGACTTTCTATGCTTTTTATTACTTTAAATGTAGCTACCTTCTTTTGGGTTGTTTTAAGCAACTTGCAATTCTCTCCCTCTAATCGTGCATTTTACTGATACGCTCTTAAACATATATATACAACTTCTAAATGCCATCAGCACACTCATGGCCCTGGAATACAGTATGCTTCCCCTTACCTCTCCTTGACTTGGTGCCTTCCCTCTTGGTTTGCATCAGGGTTTGCCCATCTTCGATGTCTGCACCAAAACCAACCATTTTCTTCGCTGAACTGCTCCCACCACTGCTCGCTGGTGTTCTGGAGGTTTTGCTCACTGGAGGTGTCATTGGAAAACGATATTCATGTTTCAACACTGGTACACTGGAAGGAAAGAAAGATCATGCTATTACATGGTGCTTTCAGCCCTTTTAAACTGCACCCACCCCTTTTCCCCATTTTCATTCTCCAGAAGCGTAATGGTCATGCTGCTGGTTGAGCTCTTGTTGAATTCATTTACAATACCTGAAAAGCAGGATGCCTAAGGATCGAAGAGTTACCAACCTACTTTATCAGTACTCTTTGGTTACCTGCAGCTGGCAGCACTCTGACATTTATATTTGGAGTTTTGTGGCACTTGGCACATTCCCTCAAGCATTAGGTCCTAGATTTCCTGAGTGCTTATGATAGGACAAGTGGGATGAAGATACAGATAGTACTTTGTCCAGCACAGTGGAGCACGACTGGAAGAAAGAGTAACTAAAAAAATGCTTACTTTGCTAGGATAAAGGGGACACAGAGACGATTATGTGAAAACTGGATTTGTGGTTTGCAAAAGGGTAGCAGATGATACAATCATTCAAGAAGAAAAGGGAAGAGAGAAGATGAGATAAAAAGAGGTGAATGAAGAGGTACGTGTAAGCAAGATAGAGAACATATGAGCAAATTGGTGGGAGAGTAGCTGGTGCAGCAAGTGCAGCAGTTTGAGTAGAGTAAGAAAAGAGAAAGCTAAACAGAACCATGATGGTTCAAGAACTTTAGCACAAGATCGTAAACACTGCACAGATAGAGCCAGGAGGCAAATGTGGTGATGTGGAGGCAAGCATGACTTCAGTCTTGGCAGACACAGGCAATCACAAAACATTTTGGGAAGACAGGAGGCTACAGAGAACCATCTTTCTCTCAGTGAAGACAACCTACTGCTTTTAAACTCCTCTCTCTGGGAAACAACTACCGCTTTAAATGAGGATTCCCGAGATGTGTATGTCATTAGCCCCGTCACCATTATAAAAGCATTTAAAAATATAAAAAAAATCTTTGGATTATCCACATGAAGGAATACAATTCACCACAAGCTTATACTATTCTACTTGCAATCATGGGAGTGACATACAGCTTTCCTAAGTTAACAGAATATTAAACAAATCCTTTTCTTGTTAAAGCACTGATTTTACACGGCAACCCAAAGACTGCCACCGAGTTTGTATTATTTGGGATACAGCTTTATGGAGGTCAATTCACAAGAATCTTTTACCTAAAAGCTTACACTACTGAAGTTACTGTGCATCTGAGAAAAACTCAGATACTTGATGTTCCCATCAGAAAATGATAGCTACATTAAAAGTTTCAAATCAATGTGCTGTAGAAGCCATTGTTTAATAGGGCCCACTGCGCCTGTTGGACAATTAGTATTACTCCTGTATTATTAATGCTGAACATTATATAATGGCTTATGACCTGTAATAACTGGCTGAACCGTTGTATAAAACTTCTCTGAATAACCTCCATTTACTTTAAGGTTTCAAACTGTGTGGCCACGACTAATATTGCAAAGTGTTATTAAAATTCATGGTGGACTAAATTAGTGTCTTATTTAAATTAGATGAAATTATTAACCTACTAATTCCTGCAACCCAGAGTACAGCAAGAGGTGGGTTTGGACCCTAGTAACTGTTTAAAGAGGCTTGAAGGTGTAATACTTGACCAGATTTCTCTGATAATACAGGACCTGATATTCCATTTGCTTGTCCTTGGATGATTAACAGCACTTAAAAACACTGAGGCTGTCGTTATTTGGATGATTTTTGAATTTGTGAAGTACATTTAATTACAACCTACAGATCTACTGTGAAGACAGTGACCTTTGGCTTGTAGATGAGGAGGCAATTACTCCACTGGTTCACTGCAATACTTTTTACACGGTGCAGTTACCTCTAGAATACCGAGTTCTGGTTTGAGTAGGACCATGGCAGTGGCAATTCAAACAGAAACAGACATCAAGAAGAAGTTACAGAATCTAATTTATGAGGAAATCACAAAAGCAAGCATATTTGCATTTATAGCTCACTAAACAATTAATTAGAGCCTTGTTCTTTGTTATTTAACAAAAGTAAGCTCATGCTAAAGTTTTGCTCGAGTAAGGATAGACAGTCAAATATTAAAATGACAAACACTTAATCTGAGAGATGTGCAGACCAAGGAAGGAAAGGGATAATACAGAGAGATACAAAAATTCAATAATTAACAATGTACAAAAATTAAACAAAACATAAGGAAAAAATAATCTATTTCAGAAGATAGTTAGTCATTCACCTATGGAATAATTAGTAAAATGAATTATGTGCATATTGCAGCCTGGAAAATTTCAAACTAACATGTGGTCCAAAGGGACCAGAAGAGAGATTAAGCAACAAAACAGGCCCTTCCCTATTCTCAAATCCAGCAGTCCATCATATCACTCAAGTGCAGCATGCTTAGTAGGACTTCCTGTAGGGCACCACAATACTCGATGAATTTCCATGCTATCCCCTGAAACCACACAACAAAGACGACTGTCCAAACAAAGACCTTATTAACCTACCTAACCTACATACTAAGGCAGGAGTTGTAGAGTAGCACTGCCAGAAAAGAGGTGAGTCTCAGCACTGCTGCCTCCTTATGAATATCGAAGTACATCACCAACAAAGAAAAACACAACCTGAAGGTTTTTCCATTTTGTCTGTGCCTCATATCGCGATATCCCTGCTGAGCATGAATGACAAATTTTAAATGTCATTCAGGACCCATTGAATATTGCTAGTATTTGCATTCCTTAAAAAGTAGAAAAACATTAACCTTTTGTTTTATTGAATTAAAATGCCATGGAAATGCTGATGTAGTCTTCAGAGACTGAAATACTTTTACAAAGAAGAATAGCTGTCATTTATTAGACACAAAGAACAATTACTTGATAGGATGCTTTCTGACAAAAAGCAGATTGGTATTCTCATCATAGAAAAGGCATTGTAAAAAAACCCAGCACAGACCTCTGAGACTTGAATAATTTAAAGCTGCATTTGGTGCAATTTGAATTTTTCTTTAGGGAGGCAAAGTTAAATACCTTTAATTTGTTCTAATTATTTCAAATTTGCAAGTTAATTATGGCTGATCATTAAATAACAAAAAGGACTATCGTCTCCATAGAGTTTTACCTCCTACCCTCTGCATTACTTAAGCTAGATTTTAGTATGCATGAATTAACTTTCTAAATAATCACACGGTTTGACTAAATGGCTCAGTAAAATGAGCTCTGATCCTCAGAATAAGCATTAATGGACATTAGAAAGGCTATTGGGACCCATGTTACTTACATTATAAGTATTTTTAATGGGGTCTTATTTACTAATCTTTATGTACTGTTCAAGTTAGGGCACCATATAGATACATTATTCTGCTTTAATAGAGGAAAGTCAGTTCTTCAAGATACTAAAACAAATGTCCATTTAGAGCCAACTACATTCATTTTTAAATTAATGCAGGAAAACTCTGATAGAATTTAACTTGTTTTAGCTGCTTATCCTGATGAATCAATCCAACATAATGGTGGCGTTGGTCTGCAAATGGAGTTTTACAGATCTATTGAATCACTAAGTAACTCCAGCAGCTACAGCTCTTGCCACAGAGTAGCATTTACTGTCAGCACCTGTACACCCATGAGGCTTCACCTCCTCCCTGCTCCATACCTAGCATTCATCTGACAGGTTCCCAGTCATCAGTCCCAAATTTGGATGCTCACCTTTCACTGAACTCTGATCTTTCCATGCATTTTTCAGCACATCCAGAGAACACAACTACATTATAGCTAGCCAGAAAACCAAAATGTGATGCAATTCATGCCTCCAGTATATATGTTCAGCAGATGGCTGTCTTAATGGTACCCTACTGCACCCTGTTTAGGCAAGGGCTTGCGAGTTTAACCATTATCAAATTAACAGATTGCTGTGGTAGGTTAGCTCCAAAAGCAAACACACTGGAATGTTATTTTCCTGTTCCACAATTTCTGTTTTAAAAATAAAATAATTAACAGTTCATGAATGCAATCTGCTGCAATTATATCATGCCAAGAATGCATAACACTTAATGATGCAAAACTGATGATAAGTAGACAACCCAAGCAATACGTTTTTGTAGCTGGAATCTGTATTGCCATTTCAGATGCAGTTTGACAAACAGGCTGAAAATTGCTTCCCCGCTCTCCCACACTTGGGCTGGGAGAGTTTTCAGCCACATCAGCTTCCAGATTCAGCTCAGCATAAAGCAGCAGTATCACAAGTGCTGGGACAAAGCTGAAGGTGTCACTAGATCATGGGACCTTCTTTTCAGCAGTGGTATGAATTTAAGTCCATTTAAATCAAGTTATCAAACCACACCTCTGAAAACCATCAGTTCCAAAGGGGTACTGTTTGGGAAGCTGGTTGTCTCCATGGCAAATAAAAAAATATCTGTGGGGAGAAAAGGACTGTAGACTTTGGATGAGTGGATCTAAGCAGGAACAAGACTGGTCTCCTGAACAACCACAACGTTTTCAGTCCTCTCAAGTGAGGGGTAGTGGAGGCCCCATCCCTGGAAACATTCTAAGTGTATTGCATTACTCTTTGTAAGCCTCTACTTCCAGAACTACCACATGCCTCAGATTATTCACGTGTTTTTTCCCAACAATGTGTCAGGTAGGGCAGTCTGATTACTCTAATCCCCAAGACAAAAAAGATAAGAAACTGATACAGTACAGAAGCTGGGCCCGTGGACAGCAAGAAGGCCAGCAGAGGTGGAAGAGAACTGGAACCGACTCCCACACATTCGACCCACGGAGCAAAGGAGACACCTGAAAATAGTGCATACTCCATGTGTGTCTGCTTAGAGCTAATCATGAAGAAAACCCTGACAACAGAAGTAGAGTTTATGGCCCCTCCTTAGTGAGTCTCCATCTCCAAACTGGAGCCCTCTTCTGAGGGGACACAGCCTGCCCCTTCTTTCCAGGGGAGCTGGGCAGAAACATGACAGGATGTCCAAGCTGGCAGAGCAGCACACGGAAAAGAGGACGCAGATTGGAGCATTCGCTCCTCCTT